ATATTAAATCTCCTGAAAGTTGCTCTTTAATTGTTGTTAGAACAAGGAGTATAGCAATTACTGAATAAAGGTCAGTACAATGTATTGATATATATAGAGAATTATTTCAGGAAAATGTAAAAAGGGACTAAATTAAGTAGTGGTAAAACAACCTTTAAATAGACTGACACTATGATATGAAATTAATCTGAGAGTAGGATTTGCCATATAACGTAAAGTTTGAGCAATTGATATCACTAAAGAAATATTATTTGAGGTAGTTGATACTAGTTAGTGGAAGATGGTACAAGGAAATGTACTGTAGTGTAGTAGGAGCATACACTAGTTTGTTATTTGTAGTTTAGGAGCAAAGGGAAAATTAAGTAAGATCATAGAAGAATTATAACAGTGCTTAAGTAGGAATAAATGATAATACAGATATTATTAAAGAGTATCTTATTAACAAGTAATAAATTGTGAAAGGGAAATCTGGGAAGATAACACAAATTGTGTCACACAAGGAACTGTGTGGGACACCTGGGATAATAAGGTAGTAAATACTATCCAGGAGGTGATAGTACAGGGATTAGTTCAATAATGGAATAATAACATACACTAACGTAGTACAATGATTTGGTCACTAATATCAGTCAGACTCTGTAATGTTTGCATTATGAAGGAAGTTTGCTAGTTCATTTTCATTTGTAATATAGTACACACGGCCTACATTTCTTTTTCTTACTAGAATTTGTCCATCACGTACAAAACACTGGTGAATTTTATCATTTTTCTCACGTTTCAGTTTTCTCACTCTGTACAGGAGTGGGGGGACGTATGTAACGATTGCAAAATTCGAACGAAATTTTCCACACTGATAACTGTGTCTCTGAGAATGTTTATAGCTGTGTGTCTGAGTGTCGTGGGGGTTCGTGAGGAGATATTGGAGTAAAAAATACACACTTTGGATGTCTTAGAGGAGTATAATTAAGAGTCTAGAGTCCGGTCTATGCCTAGCAGATATATGATGGGTCTCGTGAAGTCACATTTAACAAGGGAACATATCTATATAGTAGCTGAGATTATCTAAGTATGCTACACAGTACACAGTAACACTACTGACATGAGTATGATTATAGCTGTGTGACTGAGAATGATTATAGCTCTGTGTCTGAGTATGATTATATCTGTGTTTGAGAATGTTTATTGCTGTGTGTCTGAGTATGATCAGAGCTGTATGTCTGAGTATGATTATAGCTGTGTGTATGACTATGAATAAAGCTGTGTGTCTGAGTGTTTGTAGAGGTGTGTTTGAGAATTTTTATAGCTGTGTATCTGAGAATGTTTACAGCTGTGTGTCTGAGTATGATCATAGAGGTGTGTTTGTATCCACTGCTAAGTTGTAGGACTACAGCTAAGAGCTGTTATCCTACCTAAGCTCATTTCAAAGACCAGCCCTATCGAAGGCATATCCCCCGGGGATGCCACCCACAACAGTCAACTAACACCCAGGTACCTACCTACTGCTAGGTGAACAGGGGCAGCAAGTGTTAGGAAACATTCCCAACGTTTCCACCAGTGCCAAGGATCAAACTGCGTGTCACAATACAGTGATGGTTGTAGGAGTGTGTGTCACAACACAGTGATGTTTGTAGGACAGTGTCACAACACAGTGATGTTTGTAGGAGTGTGTCACAACAGAGTGATGGTTGTAGTTGTGTGTCACAACACAGTGATGGTTGTAGGAGAGTGTTACAACACAGTGATGGTTGTAGAAGAGTGTCACAACACAGTGTTGGTTGTAGGAGTGTCACAACACACTGTTGGTTGTAGGAGAGTGTCACAACACAGTGATGGTTACAGGAGAGTGTGTCACAACAGTGATGGTTGTAGGACAGTGCGTCACAACACAGTGATGGTTGTAGGAGAGTGTTACAACACAGTGTTGGTTGTAGGAGTGTCACAACACACTGTTGGTTGTAGGAGAGTGTCACAACACAGTGATGGTTACAGGAGAGTGTGTCACAACAGAGTGATGGTTGTAGGACAGTGCGTCACAACACAGTGATGGTTGTAGGAGAGTGTTACAACACAGTGATGGTTGTAGAAGAGTGTCACAACACAGTGTTGGTTGTAGGAGTGTCACAACACACTGTTGGTTGTAGGAGAGTGTCACAACACAGTGATGGTTACAGGAGAGTGTGTCACAACAGAGTGATGGTTGTAGGACAGTGCGTCACAACACAGGGATGGTTGTAGGAGAGTGTGTCACAATACAGTGTTGGTTGTTGGAGAGTGTCACAACACAGTGTTGGTTGTAGGAGAGTGTCACAACACAGTGATGGTTATAGGAGAGTGTGTCACAACACAGTGTAGGTTGTAGGAGAGTGTCACAACACAGTGAAGGTTGTAGGAGAGTGTCACAACACAGTAATGGTTGTAGGAGAGTGTCAAAACACAATAATGGTTGTAGGAGAGTGTGTCACAACAAAGTGATGGTTGTAGGAGAGTGTGTCACAACACAGTGATGGTTGTAGGAGAGTGTGTCACTAAACAGTGTTGGTTGTAGGAGTGTCACAACACAGTGTTGGTTGTAGGAGAGTGTCACAACACTGTGATGGTTGCAGGACAGTGTCACAACACAGTGATGTTTGTAGGACAGTGTGTCACAACACAGGGATGGTTGTAGGATAGTGTCACAACACAGTGATGTTTGTAGGACAGTGTGTCACAACACAGGGATGGCTGTAGGAGAGTGAGTCACAACACAGTGTTGGTTGTTGGAGAGTGTCACAACACAGTGTTGGTTGTAGGAGAGTGTCACAACACAGTGATGGTTATAGGAGAGTGCCACAACACAGTGAAGGTTGTAAGAGAGTGTCACAACACAGTGATGGTTGTAGGAGAGTGTCACAACACAGTAATGGTTGTAGGAGAGTGTATCACAACAGAGTGATGGTTGTAGGAGAGTGTGTCACAACACAGTGATGGTTGTAGGAGAGTGTGTCACAACACAGTGATGGTTGTAGGAGAGTGTGTCACTACACAGTGTTGGTTGTTGGAGAGTGTCACAACACAGTGTTGGTTGTAGGAGAGTGTCACAACACAGTGACGGTTATAGGAGAGTGTCACAACACAGTGATGGTTGTAGGAGTGTGTCACAAAACAGTGATGGTTGTAGGAGTGTGTCACAACACAGTGATGGTTGTGGGAGTTTCACAACACAGTGATGGTTGTAGGAGAGTGTCACAAAACAGTGATGGTTGTAGGAATGTGTCACAACACGGTGATGGTTGTAGGAGAGTGTCACAACACAGTGATGGTTGTAAGAGTGTGTCACAACACAGTGATGGTTGTAGGAGTATGTCACAACACAGTGATGGTTGTAGGAGAGTGTCACAGCACAGTGATGGTTGTAGGAGAGTGTCACAACACAGTGATGGTTGTAGGAGTGTGTCAACACAGTGATGGTTATCACTAGATCACTGTTCCATGTACACCAGACAGTTGTTATCACTAGATCACTGTACTATGTACACCAGACAGTTGTTATCACTAGATCACTGTACTATGTACACCAGACAGTTGCTATCACTAGATCACTGTACCATGTACACCAGACTGTTGTTATCACTAGATCACTGTACCATGTACACCAGACAGACGTTATCTCTAGATCACTGTACTATGTACACCAGACAGTTGTTATCACTAGATCACTGTACCATGTACACCAGACAGACGTTATCTCTAGATCACTGTACCATGTACACCAGACAGTTGTTATCACTAGATCACTGTACCATGTACACCAGACAGTTGTTATCACTAGATCACTGTACCATGTACACCAGACAGACGTTATCTCTAGATCACTGTACTATGTACACCAGACAGTTGTTATCACTAGATCACTGTACCATGTACACCAGACAGTTGTTATCACTAGATCACTGTACTATGTACACCAGACAGTTGTTATCACTAGATCACTGTACTATGTACACCAGACAGTTGTTATCACTAGATCACTGTACTATGTACACCAGACAGTTGTTATCACTAGATCACTGTACTATGTACACCAGACAGTTGTTATCACTAGATCACTGTACTATGTACACCAGACAGTTGTTATCACTAGATCACTGTACTATGTACACCAGACAGTTGTTATCACTAGATCACTGTACTATGTACACCAGACAGTTGTTATCACTAGATCACTGTACTATGTACACCAGACAGTTGTTATCACTAGATCACTGTACTATGTACACCAGACAGTTGTTATCACTAGATCACTGTACTATGTACACCAGACAGTTGTTATCTCTAGATCACTGTACCATGTACACCAGACAGTTGTTATCACTAGATCACTGTACCATGTACACCAGACAGTTGTTATCACTAGATCACTGTACTATGTACACCAGACAGTTGTTATCACTAGATCACTGTACTATGTACACCAGACAGTTGTTATCACTAGATCACTGTACCATGTACACCAGACAGTTGTTATCTCTAGATCACTGTACCATGTACACCAGACAGTTGTTATCACTAGATCACTGTACTATGTACACCAGACAGTTGTTATCTCTAGATCACTGTACCATGTACACCAGACAGTTGTTATCACTAGATCACTGCACCATGTACACCAGACAGTTGTTATCACTAGATCACTGTACCATGTACACCAGACAGTTGTTATCACTAGATCACTGTACCATGTACACCAGACAGACGTTATCTCTAGATCACTCTACTATGTACACCAGACAGTTGTTATCACTAGATCACTGTACCATGTACACCAGACAGACGTTATCTCTAGATCACTCTACTATGTACACCAGACAGTTGTTATCACTAGATCACTCTACTATGTACACCAGACAGACGTTATCTCTAGATCACTGTACTATGTACACCAGACAGTTGTTATCTCTAGATCACTCTACTATGTACACCAGACAGTTGTTATCTCTAGATCACTCTACTATGTACACCAGGCAGTCGTACGTTACGGATGGGATTCTTGGACGCGTCATACTACCTCGGTGCCCCTGTGGGCAACGCCCTCGTGGGAGTCCTTCTAGATACTGGCAGCTATATGGCAGCTTTTCCTTTCGTCATCGTCGTCTACATCGTCAGTATCATGTACATCGCTGCAAGAGTGAGACGTCCAGAGAGGAGCTCCGCACGCGACAACGTAAAGATAGATTTGATCTAAGTTATTTTCTTTCAAGAATGTACCGCACAATTTTACAAGATATAACAGATTATACATCCATTCCATACATACACAGCAGTAGTGTACTTGGTGCCAGAGTGGCTCATCAAAGGATGCCGCCTTTTCACACCTAGGTGTGAAAATTCACACCTATGTGTTAATGACCCTGATCTAACCACCGCCTCGCAACGCCCCTCCCCACGACGCCCTGCCCTGCCATCCCGCCCGCGCCGCCCCAGCACCCCGAGACCCCCTCTGTCCCTTCTTCAGTGCCTCCTGCTGCGGACCCACCTGTGTCACCCAACCCTGACCTCACCCCACTTCCAGTCCTGCTCTGCCCCTAGCCCCACCCCATCCCTTTAGTCCCGAATCGCCCCCGCTCGTCAGATCAAATTATTTTTGGGGTGGTGGATTTTTTGAATTTTTGAGTTTTACCCACTTTCGAGAATGTTGCCAGATTTCGAGAATGCCATCAAATTTTAATTTTACCCTCCACTTCCTTGGACAAACATTTACCTTGATTTTTTGAATTTTTGAGTCACCCTCTATTTCCTCGTATCATATTTTTTTCAAATTTGGAGGGATTTTTAGATTTTTTTACTTTACCCTCAATTTCCACAGATCAAGACCTCCATCGAATAAACAAAAGTTTCCCCTTTATCCTCAAAATTTAGATTTTTTTTTTTCAATTTTTTTCTCGACATCAATAATACAAAGAAAAATACTTGAGTTATCCTCGCCTTCCTCGAATCAAGACCTTCCTCTCCATCTCACTTACAACTCCCACCATCCACTTGCATCTTCCCAAAATCCCTGCATCATCTCCTTGGATCAAGATCACCCTCCCTATCTCCCACCCTTCACCTCCCCTCTTCACTTCCATCATCCATACCCTCTAAGCCTAATATTCCTGCTCCTTCTCCTTGGATCATCTTTTTACTCCAAATTGAATGTACCACCAAATTATCTCGATTTTTTTTACTTTATCCCAACAAGCACCCCTTAAAATTTCTCCATGCTCCACCTCCTTGGATCAAGATTTACTCCATATAAAATGTACATGTTTTGAGTTCCTCCCATAGGTACCCCTGAAATTTTCGAATTTTGACTTCCACCCCCCCATCTCCCCTACACCTCACCTCTTCACATCCACACACCCATCTCCCAGCAACTCACTCCCCCCTCACTCATAAACCTTAACATTTCACAACACCTAAACATCACACTACCCAACTATTGCCTCATGTGTCTACAACCTCCGGGCCCCAGGTATTGGGGGTTCACCTTCCAATCTTTTCCAATTTATAATAACTTTTCACTTTCATATTTTTCTTTTATAGGTAGTAGGCTGGTAGACAGCAACCACCCAGGGAAGTACTACCGTCCTGCCAGATGACTGTGAAACAGAAACCTGTAACTGTTTTACATGATGGTAGGATTGCTGGTGTCTTTTTTCTGTCTCATAAAAACGCTAGATAACAGGTATATCTTGCTACTTCTACTTACACTTAGGTCACACTACACAGGCATGCACATGCATGTATATACATACACACATCTAGGGTTTTTCTTTTTTTCCTAGTAGCTCTTGTTTTTTTTCTATTGTCCATGGGGAAGTGGAAAAGAATCTTCCCTCCGTAAGCCATGCGTGTCATATGAGGCGACTAAAATGCCGGGAGCAATGGGCTAGTAACCCCTTCTCCTGTACACATTTACTAAAAATGAGAAGAGAAACTTTATAAAACTGAAATGCTTAAATGTGCGTGGATATAGTGCGGATGATAAGAAAGAGATGATTGCTGATGTTATGAATGAAAAGAAGTTGAATGTCCTGGCTATAAGTAAAACAAAGCTGAAGGGGGTAGGGGAGTTCCAGCGGGGAGAAATAAATGGGATCAAGTCAGGAGTATCTGAGAGTGTTAGAGCTAAGGAAGGGGTAGCAATAATGTTGAAGGATCAGTTATGGAAAGAGAAGAGGAAATATAAATGTGTAAATTCAAGGATTATGTGGATTAAAATAAAGGTCGGATGTGAAAAGTGGGTCATAATAAGCGTGTATGCACCTGGAGAAGAGAGGAGTGTAGAGAACAGAGAGAGATTTTGGGAGATGTTAAGTGAATGTATAGGAACCTTTGAACCAAGTGAAAGAATAATTGTGGTAGGGGACCTAAATGCTGAAGTAGGAGAAACATTTAGAGAGGGTGTGGTAGGTAAGTTTGGGGTGCCAGGTGTAAATGATAATGGGAGCCTTTTGATTGAATTTTGTATAGAACGGGGTTTAGTTATAGGTAATACGCATTCTAAGAAAAAAAGGATAAATAAGTATACAAGATATGCTGTTGGGCGTAATGACTATGTTTGTTGACTATGTATTGGTAGATAAAAGACTATTGGGTAGACTTCAGGATGTACATGTTTATAGAAGGGCCACAGATATATCAGATCACTTTTTAGTTCTAGCTACAGTGAGAGTAAAAAGTAGATGGGATACAAGGAAAATAGAAGCAGCAAGTAAGAGAGAGGTGAAGGTGTATAAACTGAAAGAGGAGGCAGTTAGGGTAAGATATAAACAACTATTGGAGGATAGATGGGCTAGTGAGAGTATAGGCAATGCTGCTGTGGAAGATGTATAGGGTAGGATTAAGAATGTAGTGTTAGAATTTTCAGCAGAAGTTTGTGGTTACAGGAAAGTGGATGCGGGAGGAAAGAAGAGGGATTGGTGGAATGATGATGTAAAGAGAGTAGTAAGGGAGAAAAAGTTAGCATATGAGAGGTTTTTACCAAGTAGAAGTGATACAAGGAGGGAAGACTATATGGAGAGAAAAAGAGAGGTTAAGAGAGTGGTGAAGCGATCTAAAAAGAGAGCAAATGAGAGAGTGGGTGAGATGTTATCAACAAATTTTGTTGAAAATAAGAAAAAGTTTTGGAGTGAGATTAGTAAGTTGAGGATTTGACAGTTAAAAATAGGAGATGAGAGTTATTAAACGGAGAGTAAGAGGTATCAGGAAGATGGAGGGAATATTTTGAGGAATTGTTAAATGTTGGTGAAGATAGGGAAGCTGTGATTTCGTGTATAGGGCAAGGAGGAATACTATCTTGTAGGAGTGAGGAAGAGCCAGTTGTGAGTGTGTGGGAAGTTCGTGAGGCAGTGGGTATATTTCATCAAAATTCTAATGTAATCCTCTCCATACCCATCTCCTTGAATCCACATAGAGAGATTAACATTATTATACTCACTACTTATAACCTACATTTCACAACACCCAAACATCTCAATATTACTTTCCTCTTGTTACCTTAAGTGAACTAAAAGTGCGTCATGTTAGAACAACTGTGATCATGCCAGGTTGGGTGTGACGTCACTGACAGCCAATGTGGTCTTATCTGAGTTACCTCAGATAAGATCACAGGTCACCCCATGAACTGACCACCTCCATCTCACCCACAACTCACAACATTTAACCTTCACTTGTCTCATTAATACCCACACAAACAGAACACCCACAACACTTACAATTTTTCCCTAATACAAGAAAAAAGATACATGTCACACACTATTCACCCTCAATTCACCTGTCTCAATTCAACAAAAAGATACAAATTCCACTCATAACTCACAATTTTTCCCGTTTTTACTAATTCATCAAGTTTTTTGTCAACTGTTTAATGTCATTAATACACAATTTTACTCTTAGCCCAGGAAAACCCAAAAAAATCCTCATTTTCGTTAATACCCACGTCTCATAACTCACAATTTTATTCACAATTTTTCCTCTTTCGGTACAATTTTTTTCTCAAATGTTTAATGACACTAATACATAATTTCTCTCATAACCCAGGATAACCCAAAAAAAATCCGCTTTTTCGGCAGATATAACAAAATCTTTCACTTGTCACAATTTTACATATTACGAATTAAGCTTTCGTTAATACGACAAAGGATTCACTTGTCTCAATAATATCCACAAAAACAGGACACCCACAACACTTACATTTTTTTTTTCGCTGCTGCTGCACATGGGCGCCTGGCGAACTTGAGAATAGCGTTTCAATACCTCAGTAAGGAATCATTCAAGATTCTATACACTCTGTACGTCAGGTCCATACTGGAGTATGTGGCACCAATTTGGAACCCACACCTAAGTAAGTAAGTAAGTAAGTTTATTCAGGTATACACAAATACAGTTACATAGAATTATCATACATAGCAGCATATGTGTAGAGAACCTAGGATAACCCAAAAAAGTCAGACAGAGTGACTTATTTCCACATCAAGAAATTAGAGAAAGTGCAAAGGTTTGCAACAAGGCTGGTTCCTACGAAGAAAGGTTAAAGTAAACACAGGCGGGAGTGTGACGTTACAGAAGGTGCCTTATCTGTGACGTCACCAGTCATGTGGGGTGTGATGTCATGTGTTGGTGGTAGTGAGGTGAGTGTAAGATATTGACAAATATGTTATGGAGATGGTGGCCGTGATTTTTTGTGTGAATGTTTATAAAAATGAGTGTTTTCTGTGATCTTAGTGGTTTTGAGCTGGGTATACTTAGATGATGGTAGTGGTTTTGAGATGACTGTGTTCATAGAACACACTTGGTTATAGTGATTTGAGGGGATGTGTATAAAAGTGGGTGTTAGTTGGTGTTGATGATCTTAGTTTCTGGTGATTTTAGACTATTCCAACGATGTTTGAGAGTATTCAAAGGTGTTCAAATGATGTATGAGAGTGTTTTGGTGGTGTTTACATGATGTATGTGTTTGGGAGGTGTTCATATAATGTATGAGAGTGATTTGGTGTTGCTCAAATGATGTAAGAGAGAGTTCTGAAGTTGTTGATGTGAGAATATTTCTTAATGGTTAATGAGAAAAGTATGTTTATGTGTACTCACCTAATTGCGGTTGCAGGGGTCGAGACTCAGCTCCTGGCCTCGCCTCTTCACTGAGTTCTACTAGGTTCTCTCTTTCCCTGCTCCATGAGCTTT